CGGTGGGTATTATTCTCATCATCATCCATTTATTTCAAGTACTATAAAAGCATTTTTCCTGTATTTATTTGTGTTATTATATGATTTAAATACTTTCATGTTTTTATTTGTAGATTATTAATCATAACATCTCTTGGATTGTGATTTGTTCTGTTCTATTTGTGTGTTTGAAGTTAATAACAACATTGAGATATTTATACACTTCCTTTTATAAGAACGAATACAAAAACCAACAACGAAAGTCACGAATATTCGAAAAGTGTTCCAGGCAAGTATTTTAGTAATTTTACTAGTTGTAAAGTTCGTTAAGGTTCTAGTACTGCTTCAAAATGTCATAAAACATTTAGATTGAAGGCAAATGTACATTAGCTTTTCGTTAGTTAGTTTTGTGATCATCATTTTGTTTAATCTCTCATTTCAATCTTCAGAGACTTACCTACTGTTGAAATTAGAATTTATAAATCGACTTTAGTCCTGGAATTAGACGAAAGATTTTTTAAGAAGTTTTCCACGATCGACCTGATCTCAGTTGACTGTACCTAATAGATTTTAGTAATTTTCACAATGGATCAAATATAACTTATTCCTTTCATTTTAAAATAATATTAGTTTCTTGTTTATTTAGATGTATTTCACAAAATGATACAGTAGATAATTATGGCCAAACATGTTACCAGCTGCATATCGTGATCCTATTGATGCTCCATTAAGAAAGCTTAGTGTTGATCTTATTAAAACATATAAACATATTAACGAGGTGAGGAAAATTTATTTTATTTTGTTTCATTCTTTTCCATGCTTAAAATCACAGATAGAATACTTTCTGTTCAATATCAGAAGAGACTAATGAAAAATAATGATGATCAATTAAAACGATTGAATAGAAGAGATAGAATGTTGTAGAGATGGTTTGAATAGAATATAATTGTCGTGTCCTTTATTTCTAATCGTCAAAATATTTTCTTGCACTAATGTTTCGCTACCAGCATTTTATTTTCGTCATCGACGCTACTTCATTGTTCTTTGAATTTTTTGTTATTATATTATATTGTAAATAATAGCCGATAGTTACTAACATTTTATTTTATTATTATATTTGCTCATCAGATTGCTCAAAGATTTCTAAAACTTGACAGTTAGTTGTTTCGATCATACTAATCTTGTCTTTAATATTAGAGTACATATAGCTTTATCGATCGCTCTCTCGTTATCTGTATTTGAATATTTAATGAAACAATCTTTTTTATGAAGATACCTGAGATGTAAGGAGAAGCGATCAAATGATTAGCTGATGTTTTGATTCTACTTGTGAAGAAATTAAAAAATATTTAAATACAAGCGACAAGAATAGTGATGTTGTACAGTAATAATAATGTCAGCGCTAGTAGACATATAATTTATTGAATTATGATCAACTGTATTTTTTGTTAGTCGGAGAAAGGAAAAAATGACGATTCTCTAAATTACAGTTGAAAGAATGTTGTTTTAAACAACGCTGGTTTTTTAGTTTCTCACAGCCCGTACTTATTTTCTTCTCGACTTACGGTGTTCATGAATAAAGGAAGACTGTAGCGTTTTTCCTTTCAAATTTGAGCTCTCTTCCGTCTGTTAAAATTTTTTTAAAATACCTAGCAAAAACATTTGCTAGGTAAAATGTATGCTGTCTGGCAGAAAAACTGTTTTTTTCCCATAAAATTTGCAACTTTTGACTATTTTCTGCCAAGTTTTTAGCATAGATTTTATGCCGAAGTCAAAAAAACATATTTGCACTCTGTTCTGGTATGTCAGACTGTGAATGTTAGTGTCTCTCTGGATTTTTGACGCTCGAATTATTGCTGTCACTTCGCACTGCGGAAAACTTCTCTGCCCAATTCTTTCTTCTGTATGAGTAGAGATTCGCCCGGGCGTTAAAAGAGTTCTAATTGCGGTAGTAGTTCAAACAGAGTGCAATATGCAACTTCAAAAAAAAAACTTGTTTTTGTTTTTTTGCCGAACATTTTCTGTAAGATCTTTTTTTACCATTTTTTTTCAAAATTTTACCCTTTCCTCTGCCCAAAAAGATCGGGATTCCTAATACCAATATTTTGTGTATAAACTGCTCTTAACAAATCATTATAAATGACTCATAATTTCAAAAATTTTTCTGTATACACTATTTCTTTTGCCCTGGAAGATTGGAAGGTAAAATTTAAATACTAGCTGTCACACTCTTTGAATATGTTGTTGTCAACCTCGACAGTCTCATCTCATTGTAAAAGTCGTAAAGCAACAGGAGTAAAATGAAAGGTCCACCTGTAGTTATTTTATCTAAACCTTCTCTAATACAGGTATAGATGCCTTGACGAGAATATCTATTTATACCTGTACAGTTGCAGTACAAAAGATAAAAAGAAACTTTTTTCATCATAATGAAATGAGCAGAAACAAAGCAAAATTATCATCCATATACTTTCAACCATCTAGTATTTTCTTTTTCATCATCTGCAAACGTGTGTATGGGACGGTCATAGCTCTTCTCTTTTTTTTTATGCCTTTGATGTAATACTAATCTTTCGAAAATATGTATTTATATATGAGTATGAATACGCAATGTCGTAATATCAAATAAATGTACTCGCTTTTACTTTTCTTACATATGTATAAATATATATCTGCAGAAGAAGAAAAGCAAACGAAAATTGATCATAAGGAAAATAGGATGCGTATGTACGTCTGTGATGGTCCAATGCTTCATACAGGTCATCAACTTCCTTTAGAAAAAAAGGAAAAACGTTTTCTTTTTACTATTGCGGTTTCGAAACATGGATCTTCTCTCTCTTTTTTTTTTCTTGTATTCGAAATTATTACTTTTCGTTAAAATGCATTCTTCACATACTGATGATATATACACCCAGCAGTAATCATTTCACTGACGTTAATACAATTAAGTATATATTTTTATTTTCCATAAGACTGGGCGGGTCTTTAATTTGAATTTTGTACCCAATATACTATGTACGAAAGGCAAATATAGAATTGATCTTATCATAATGTCAATTTGTTTGTACTGAACCAATCAAAGTCTTCAAGTTCCTGTCTACATTTTTTTAAAGTCTTATATTAGACGACAAAGGATAAGATTTATCGTAAAACATGATGTCATGGATAAGCTAGAATACTCAGATTTTGACTGAATGATTCATACTTTTATGTTCTGTCCATCAATCATATCTTATTTCTCAATTTTAAAAATCTGTCCAACAATGTTTGCACACTACCATCATATCAACATCAGAAATTCTTCTTTGATACTGGTAAAATGCTAACATTGCTCTACAGAACGATATTGAACTATAGGATTTGTAGAAGATAACCACACTCGGCACTTTTGCGTGTGTGTGAGGGGGGAGGAGGAGGGGATATTTTTATATAAAAAAGAAGATGAAGATTATGCAGTTCAAAACTTCAGTCGAAAAACTTTGTTTTTTTAACTGTTCAGTATTTTTTTGCAAAAAAGACACCGTTTTCTAAATGCTAAAAAAAGTTGTTTTAAACATCTTTCTTTTCAGATCCGAAACTACTTCTATAATCGTTTGACAATTGTCGTTTTGTCAATTTTGAGTTTCTTTAAACCATTTTGGGTTAGCAATACCCTTGATTATCGGGTATAACATTAAAAAATTTTGGTTATTTATCCTTGGTCTCGAGGTTAAATATGCTCACTATACATACGAGGTCGTTTTACTTCAAAAATTCAGGTGCAGAATCGTAGATAAAAATGCAGTATGTACAAATGCCGTACCCAGATTGGGAATTTGGACGGGAGCATTTTTATGCTCATCATTTATCGTCAAATGCAAGTAGTTTAACGGATAGTAATGGTGGTAGTTCTGTATATGGAAGTGCAAATAGTTATCAGTATGATATACTTCCTAGATCAGCAGCAAGTAACGGATCGTTATCTGTTGAACCAGTATATGAAGTAAGTTTTGAAGTCTAAGATCAAACCATTATTTTAAATGACCTTCTCGCGTATACTTCCAAATACCATTGTTCATTGGAAGAAGACAGAATTGCAAAATGGTGAAAGATTACGTCTTTTGTCTGAAAGATCAGTGGATTACAGGATGGATAGTATGCATTTTGTTCATAAATATTTTGAGGATAATATTATTGTTTATCTATAAATTACTTGTGGTGTTAATTTTGAGTAAATTCTATTCTTACTTAATTTATTCAAAGGTCTATTATGCTAAAAAGAAAAAACGTACCAATCAAGTTAGTGAAGAAAACGGTCTGCATAAGAAAGAAAAGCGCAATTTGAATGATGGATATGATGATGAAAATCACGATTATATTGTACGTCCAGGAGAAGTTTGGTTAGAACGTTATGCCATTGATTGTCTTATTGGAAAAGGAAGTTTTGGACAAGTAAGTTTTTTTTTTCTAATTCTTAGTATATCATCGACTAAAAACATAAATTCATATTTTATTCATATTTTAGGTTGTCAAAGCATTTGACCATATTGATCAAGAGTATGTTGCCATTAAAATAATTAAAAATAAACGACCGTTTTTATCACAAGCTCAAATTGAAGTACGATTACTAGAATTAATGAATCAACATGATGCAGATAATAACGGTTATATTGGTAGGTTTTCACTATATTATATTAATATAAAATTATGTTTTTGTTGCTTGATTTTTTAATTTTAGTTAAACTGAAGCGCCATTTTAATTTTCGTAATCATTTATGTCTTGTATTTGAATTATTATCCTATAATTTATACGATTTATTACGGAATACGAATTTTCGTGGTGTGTCATTGAATTTAACACGAAAATTTGCCTTACAACTTTTATCAGCATTATTATTTTTATCACAACCAGAACTAAGTGTGCTACATTGTGATTTAAAACCGGAAAATATTTTATTAGTTAATCCAAAACGTAGTGCTATTAAAATTGTCGATTTTGGAAGTTCATGTCAATTAGGACAACGCGTAAGTCATATATATTAAAAAAATCCATTTGTAACCATTAAGTGAATATAACTAAGATAGGATCGATTATATCTATTTTTATTTGATACATCACACCTTTAAAAGGAATGATCGACAGAAAGATACGTATTTTGTAAGACATTAATCGCTGTTATTTCTTTTGTATTTAGCTTTATCAATATATTCAAAGTCGTTTTTATCGATCACCCGAAGTTCTTTTGGGTATTCCATACGATATGGCTATCGATATGTGGTCACTGGGTTGTATCCTCGTTGAAATGCACACAGGAGAACCATTATTTAGTGGAACAAATGAAGTAAGTTAATAAATTATCATTATTAATACTATAGTTTTCAAATGTTTATTTTTATTTGTCTAATTAGTTTGATCAAATTATGAAAATAGTTGAAGGTAAACAATATTAAAACTTTTTTTTTTCTTACAGCATTTCAAATGTTTGTATTTTTTTAGTACTAGGCATGCCACCAAATCATATTCTTGATCAAGGAACAAAAACAAAACGATTTTTCGATCGTTTACCGGATAACACATGGATAGCTAGAAAAAGTAGAGAGAGAAGAGTATGTATCGGTTATTCATTATAATTATGATTTGTTCATAGATATATTATCGTTTCTAGTATCGAGCACCAGGCACGAAAAAACTCCATGAAATACTTGGAGTTGATTTGGGTGGACCGGGTGGACGACGAACAGGTGAACCGAATCATAGTACACAAGATTATGTTAAATTTAAAGATTTAGTACAACAAATGTTAGAATATGATCCTAAACGACGAGTTATACCATTTATTGCGTTACAACATAATTTTTTCAAGCGTACATACGAAGAAGGCAATCATACACCGTCAACAGCCGGAAGTGCAAATAATATTTTGAGTAATAATGGAAATGGAGGAACAAATAATAACAATAACAATGGTTCACCAAACCTTGAACCAAGTATGTATTGCTGTTTATTTATTTAGTCAAAAGATTTTTTTTGCAAAAGAAGATTTCATTTTGTAATCATACTTTAGAAAATTTGAACAATGTCCAACAAGTAAAAGATGTAGGAGCAGAAGGAACAGGACGAAAATTTATGACTACTACCGCTATTAATAATCCACTTTCAAACGGTTACCGATAAATAACTTGATCAGCTATTCTTTTAAAACACATTCTAAAGTTTCTTGCGTTTTAGAAATATCATTTCGTTTCTTTTTTTGATATTTTTTATTCAAGTTTGGTGAATAAAACAAAAAATTTTTACATTTCTGTGTCGACAGTCCATATTTTTCTGGTGTCGTGTCTCGATGCGCTGTTGCTTATATTGAATAATGCTTTTCTGTCGTAATTCACTTTACGACAAATTTAGGATTAAAACGTGTAGGAAAGCAAGCATGTCAGATTGTCCGTTAATTTTTTTTGACCTGTTACAGTTGATTTGAGAAACTACATCTATTAGTCTGCTATTTGTGAGAAAAAGAAGATTAGTTAGCCCTATCACGAAAAAAGATTGAATATTTGCTTATAATGCAGTGAAATAGACTTAATGCTATATGGTGTTCGCAAGCATCACAAACGTATGTGCTTTATAAGCAAAAAAAGAAAACTAACCTTTTTACTGGATGCATAAAACTTGTTATTTTAAACGGTATGAGAAAAATGGCTGTTAAATTTTATTTAAACTATATTCTATCTGTTCTATTCTAGCACTTCGTTACCGTCAAGAATCATATCGTCATGTAATTGAAACAGTACCATCAACATCTTCTCACTCTCAACAGCAACAATCACAGCCACGCTCAAATCAGTATCCGCCTAGTTTATGGCAACAACCCGAACAAACACCACAAGTTTTTATTTTAAATTCTGGATCATCAGCTGCAACAAGTGGAATACATCGACCGTTTCCTGGTCTACCTCCGTCATCAATACCATCATCCACAAATAATATGAGCAATGGACCAAATACATTTATTCAAACTCCACAAGCATATGCGACCGATATTTTACGCTCATATCCACAATCATCTTTATTCGTTCAGCAACAACAACAAAATTCTCATGTACCACCTTCTATGGGTGGTTCGAATTTAATTGGAAATAATAACAATACTAGTAATAATATTAATAATAATAATAATAATAATAATAATAATAATAATAATAAAATACCGAATAATGATGATACACATCATTTTCATCATCTTGAATTGCAGCAAGAGCTTCCACTTCCATCACAATTCACCTCATCATATTATTCTCATTTAAATCATTCATCAACGACTCCGCCACAGCCCCCGTCTGCTACGAATTTTATCGGACAAAATTTTCCTCCTGTTAATCCATTAGCAGCGGCTTTCACCTATTCGACAGCCGCATTTCATCCATCATCGACACATCATCTCCATCATTCACTATACTCAGATGAGCCAACTATGTTAATACAAAATCCAAGTTTGACTTGAAAAAATATTTTCGCGCTTTTGGTTTTCTTCTTTTTTTTACATAAAAGAAAAGTATATCTATGCACATGCATCCATTCAAATAATTGTCATGGTCGTGCTATTTTGTGCGCTTCTTTTTAAAAAAAAACTCAAACGGAGAATTTTATAACAATATTAAACATCTTTTATTGTTTTTT